AGCCGCCGCCGGGGGGTCTCGGGGGGCGCTTCTCCTGCACCCGTCCCTCCGCTTCTCACGCTTTATCGTCAGCAGAAAATATCTCGGAAAATCAGTTTAATCGTAATTTTTACTGCAGATAGAATAGCCTATTTATAAAAAAAAAGCGGCCTCAACAAGCCCTAATTCAATATTTAGTTTATTTTTTTCGCTGTAACACAGTAAGAAGACTTGCCGAGCAATGAGTTAGTATCGATTTTTTTTGTCTGTAGCCTCTTAGCTTTCTGACTCCATTATTTTTGATTTTACTATGAAATACATATCCTTTCTACTGACATCTGACAAACAACATATGGAAGTCATTTTATCTACCAATAATGTGTTTGTCAAAAATATCATACGCTAATGGGTTATGCTTCCTCCAGTCCATTTTCCCAAAGTTAATGTCACTGATGTAATTGTAAAAACATTCAGTGATTTTTGTCTCTCTTAATGATTTGTCATTCCTAGCTATAGGTTTGCATACGATTCATGTAAAATAGTGTAGCAGGCTAGGAGCTTACGATAGGTTTTGTGTAACATGAGCTGAGCAACTGATTTTAAATGTACGTTCAGCTGCCTTTCTCTGATGTCTATAGTTTCAATACTGTGACTACTGAGCGCCCTTTGCATTCCTCTATTTACCCTCAGAGCAGAGGTACCCGAGGGCTCAGTGCATGACGATTTCCTCTCCCCGCTAGGGCAGCACTGTATGTGTTTTCGTGCTTCCTATGGGCTCTTCCTAGGACTGCTTTCAGGACCGAACTTTCTTAAAACCAGAAATCTTTCGCACCAGTCCAGCAGAACTGTTAACCACAAGCTCCGTTGTCAGCGAGGGATTTTCTCCTTCTAAATCCCAAAGAATCAGGCTGAGATGGGTACCTGTGCACTGTCCCACGCCGTGCCGAGGCCAAGGCTTTGCTGCGGCCGCTGGGGAGCCCGGCTCTAGGCACCCGTGACCACGTCCCTCCCAGTTGTCACCACTCGCTCCAGCATCTCCTTTTTAATTGACGGTACCTTGGATCGCTGCGGTCCGCAGACAGACGTTCTTCCCTCGGGGGGTTTTATCATTCAGCTTCCTGTGTATCTCCTACAATGGTACAAACCCCATGCTCAGCTTCAATGAAATTATTAAAACGTCAGGTGTGAGTTCATTATTTGAAGCAGTTACAGTGCTTTAAGTAATTATCCAGATTCAGCAGTCAGGGTATTTGACTTCACACACATTCAGCATATACAAAAATAGTTGGCGTGTTCCTCATTTCTCAATTCATCATATCCATTAAAGGATAACTGTTTTCCCAAATTATTTTTAACCAATAAGGTGTCTTCTTGTTTGCTGCTTAAAAGTTATGTTTCTTTCTCCCTGTCTTTTCTCTGCCTTATCTATTTTCTGAATGCTCTTCACAGCAAAAACTGTCTACTCTCTTCTACAGTGCCTCAGTCATTTCACGTTGGCCCCAGTGTACTAGTGGGCAAAACAAGTGGCGTTCAGAAGTAAAGGAGACGGTTAAAACTGTAAAAGAAAGCAGAGTTAGAAGAGTGAATGCAAGGTTTGCTAGTCACGCAGTTAGAGATAGAAGGGGAGGAAGATTAACCGAGCTGTGAATCTGAAGATGCAGAAGATGAAACAGGCAGTAAAGCAAATACTTTTTTTATCAAATGTACTATAATGAACAACCCATTTTACCCGTGATTTTAAATAGAACATTTTTGTTGTACAGCCTGTTGATAAGAAATGGGCTTGTTAAATTAGTGTCAGCATGTCCATTCCAGGAATATTTCAGAGCTGTCATGAGTTTGTTTGCTCATCTGAAGATCCACTTAGTTGTCCTTAAAAGAGTGAAACGAGTTTTCAGTGGTTAGTCATTCTAGAAAGATGTAAATTACATTCACTTTTTCTCATGCAAAATTAAAACCATTTTGCAGCATATGTATATTTATATCTATATGTATCTGTGTTTAGAATTTTGGGTACTTCTGAGTTTCTGAATAATTCTGAATAATTTCTGAATAATTCTGCAAATTGTTTTGGTCTGGAGGCTCTTGTCCTAGTTTTAAATATTCTTTAATTTCTTTAGAACAAGAAATTTAACGTTTTACACGCGCACACACACACACACACACACAAAACTACAAATACTTATTTTAAATTTGTGTTAAAGATTGTTAAAATTATTCTTGTGTATTTATGAAATTTTCCATCAGACTTCAGGTATCTGAACAAGTAACACTGTTTATCCTATGCTGCTTCTCCCTCATTTTCTTGGCAATCTCCTTTTCACTTTATAGCCTAAGGTTCTGTGACTAATAAACTGATCGCCACACTACCAAATCCCTCAGCCATACAAAACTGATCTACATAAGGCATAGGTAGACATATATGCACTTTCTTTCAAGTCATCCAGAACGATAATCAGAGTTTATACTGATAGCTGCTGGACGATAGATAGCACCTGCTCTCTGAACTTTAGATGGTGCAGACACATGATATCTGCTCTGACATAAAGCCTGCCAGTACAAAACCATTTAAAAACAGATTTGAACCAGAAGAGAGTTCATACCAGATCAGCATTGTGCATGATGTCGATACAGCGTTTTAAGTCTGGCAGCAAAATTTCAGAGATGATTTACTGTTTTGTTGAACTGTGACATAAGTAGGAGGTTTTGTGTTACAAGTAAGCTGATTTAATCACCAGCTTTTGCCGAAAGGAGTAAAGCCAGACTGCATGACAGGCATGGGAGAGAGAGAAGTTGGACCATCCCTTTGGCACTGCTGACCAGTAGATCAGCTTAGCTATAATATGAAACTCCACCATCGTTCCTCAATGATTTGATTAAAAGTGTGAATTTCTGCTAGGCTATTTAGCATCTTTCTTACATGATGAAATCCTTTTGGTTTCCTACCAGTCTAATCTATCCAGAAGATCATCCCACTGAATGATGAAATACTTAGCAAAACATACCTGGCAATACATGAGTTATGTTTAATGTCATTTGTACCAAGTTGTACTGTAACTACTCTTTTTCCGCGTTCTTTTCCTCAATCTCAACCTGGGATACCAGGATATCGTGCGAAATACGCATGCGTTATATAAGACCTCAGAATACAATAAAAAAGCAATGATGTTGCTCGTTTGATTGAACAGCTCCAATTCCTATAGCTTTCTCCATTTAGTCACCTAAGGAACATACTGGCACACAACATGTACTATCTGTGTGTTATAGATGTTTTATTACCAAATATATACAAAAAATATAACTCAGAAAATTCCAAGATTTTTTGTCAAGTCATTTCATGATGTAACTGTTAATACCGAACTAATCACTTAGCTTGTCTTGAGAAGAATACAGGTGATGGCACATCCCTCTAGATATCAACCACTGAAGCCAAATTTACCTTCTTACAAGCAGAAGTATTTTTACTAATATTTACAATTTTCCCTCCACTAAATTGTCTGTACTATCTAAGAATCCTTCACTCTTCCAGGAAATTCTTCTGCTATAAATCTAGCACAATTATCCTGTAAAGGACTTTGCTAGCAAATTCTTCAGTTAGCATCTTGATTTATAACATATATTGAGCCATAACGGCCAACTCACTGTTGTTATTTTTACTAAAGAAGGGATTTTTTTCTCTGTAACAGAGTACTTTAGCTTGCATTACAAGTTGTTGGGTTTTTTTTCCTGGTATATGCTTCCAAAGTTGTAAAATATATTCAAGGTATTGCTTAGACATAGCATTTATCATAGGCTTACACTAATGTATACTGACATTACACCTTTTTGCAGACCAAGCCACCCTAGTAGAGCAAGTCAAACGAGTAAAAGAAATTGAAGCTATTGAAAGTGACTGCTTTGTTCCACAGACATTCAGATCAAGTAAAGAAGTCAAAAAGGTAAGTTTTCAATATCCTTTCTTTGGGCATAATCCTCTCAAAGTCAGGTGGAAGATGCACTATTAATATAGTTGCCACTGATGAAAGCATCAGTGTCGACAATCCTAAATCCCACTGTTGGAGTCAAGAGTTCAGACAATGATTCTCTGGAATGCTTGATGTGGTGGTCAAGGAAGAATGTGTTTCGATGTGTACGAAATTTCAATGAAATCAGCTGCTTTGATAGTATGTTCTAACCATGTTTAGCAATGCAGACTAAGATTCTTTTAAAATCATATAAAATCATGAAGATTCTTTTAAGGGAAAGCAGAATAATTAAAATGCAATGGTAACCATATGTTTACATTGTAAGTAAAAGCAGAGGTCAGTATTTTTAAGTCTGCTTAACTGAAGCCAGACTTTAAGGCCGTATTAACTCACTGAAATAAATGGCATGGTTTTCAGACAGCCTTCCACAAAACTAACCTCAGACATCCAGGTTTCAAAATTTTACCTGTATTTTGGCCACTAAGTCTTCTAAGAGAACCCAGAAACTTTTGTCTTGGGCAGAATGCAAGCAGAGCTGTGGTCTCTTTTTTCCGTTTGACAGTGAAATGTTCTTAATTATCCCTGTATGTTTCCCCAAGAACATACACGTTACTGTCTTTTCAGACGTCTTCAAGAAGTTCATGCAGCTTCTTAAGAAAGCGATCCAAAAACCAAAGCTACAGCTTTGCAAGCTCTGTTTGCAAAACAGAGCAAATTGTCTGTTTGCTCCCTTTGGCACTGCCTTCTTTTTCACTTTGTATGTTTAGCCTGGACATCAGTCTGTGTCCAGGCAGTTCCTGCTAAGCATTCGGAGGAGTATTTGCATGAGGAGCCTTTAGTGGGCATTTGCTGCAACGCAAAGAAGGCTAACACCGAGTTAAGGTACTGTCATGTCTGAGAGTCTGACAAGCAGCCTTGTTAATGCACAGTAATACTGAGGTGTATTTCTTTCCTTTTAGTCAACAGAACCTACTGAACTAAAATACGAACCTGTAACTGTAGCAGTGGGACCTGTTGATGCACCTGCTACTGAAAAAGAAACAACAACTGCCAACATTCCTACTGCCATCAAATATCAAGATGATAATTCTTTAGCACATCCAAACGTAAGCGTGTTGATATTTACTTTATCTTTAGAAAGAAACAGTCCACTGAATGTAAGCAGGTTCACATGACCTAACAATATTTTCACTGTGTTGCTCATCAAATAATGTGTGAACTGAAGACTATTTACTAATGAGCTTCACAGTGGCTCAGAAAGGATCAGACCCCTTGCATAATCCAAAAGAGAAAAATTACAAAACAGGTTCACTAGCCTTTTGGCTGAAAGCCAAATTAATGTGAGTGAAAAATCTTTTTCTTTTTTTTTTTCTTTTTAAGACTTTTCACTTGCATTTTAGCTGGTATTTCTGCTGAAGCCTTGTTCCTGGATCAGTGACGTGATGCTGCAGAACAGAAATGCAAAAACAATTACTTTGCAATTTAGCAAAATCAGATGGGAAAACTCAGTAATGAAAACCTGGATGAATGCTTTAAGATTTTCATAGGGGAAATTATGCTGAGAAGTTGTTTGATCATTGTAAACCACAAGATAAACTTTTTTGTTCTATTTCCAGTTATACAATATAAAACGAGAAAAAATATACAATCCTACTCTTTTACCTAGTCAAACCTCTAAGCTCTGTTAAACAGTAATGTAGTTGTAGAGTTACATATACGTTTTAGAACAAAGTAGCACGCTAATTTAGTGCAGGGGAGCCTAAAATCCTGTCCATAAAAGTTCAAGAAAAAATGCCTTTGGTTTGTGGTGTTTGAAAGCTGATGGAGAACCCAAAACTTACCCACACTTACCAAATTCTAAAGCTTTAACTACATGACAGGCTTTTTTAAGATGTGAATTTTAAATCAATCAATGTAGTTAAACCTATGCAAATTCATTTGTGGCCATTTAACTGGAAATAAGAGTATTCACGGTAGGTTTTTTTTTTAATTAGCAAGGTAAAACTGACTTACAGTAAACATAAGTTCTGAATAATTAATATGGCAAATGAAGATGTAAGGTCTAGGATGTAAGGCCTGCAAAATAGGGCAAACTTGCTGTTTCAGTAGGAGGCTTAACTTAGAATTTCTTGCCTTTCACATTATTAAAGTTTCAACCTTTACTGCTACATTTATATCAACTTCTTGTTCTAACACCCTTATGCAGCTGTGTTTCTCTTAGCATTGAAATAGCTGATACATATTTAATAAGATTATAACAAATCCAGATAAAATTAACTAACTGAGTTGTGCCTACTTTTCTCCTCCCCATTCTCCCCGCAGCTATTTATTGAGAAGGCAGAAGCAGAAGAAAAGTGGTTTCAGAGGTTGATTGCACTTCGGCAAGAAAGGCTCATGGGCAGTCCAGTGGCCTGAGTGAACTGCTCTGAACATCACAGAAGTTCTCTGTGATACTAAGAAATCCTACCATTACATTTATTTTTCTCTTTTCAGGGGATTTTATTTCTCAGTGAGCTGTACAGAGAATAAGTATTTCATCTGAATAAACAAAAATGTTCTAGCCTCAATTTTTTTTCCTAATTCATTGCTCGGTTACTTGTATTGCTAAGCTACCTGCTATGGAAGGGAAGGCCATCACGGCAGTGTAATTTGCTTTTTTTGTACTGACTTTCTCTTGCGTGCAAAAGATTTGACAGCCCAATCAAAAAATATATATCCATGTAGAAAGGTAAGTGAAAAAGTAAGACTGCCAAGGAAAGTTCAGATTTACCCGTGCCAGAACAGGAGTGCAGACAGTACCACCCCGGGCCATTAGATCTTTTGCAGCTGAGAAAGGTTCAGGGCAAATTATATTGCTGTTCTCTTTTCTTCCCTCCTCCTGCTATGGGAGCAGCTTTTGAATCCTGCACATCCATAGGCGGCCTCCTTGCTGAGGGGATATTCTAAACTGCTGCATTCATCTGCCTGTGCCAGCCTTATCCTGGCTCCTCAGTTTGGCCTGAGTAGAAAGAAACCTTTATTTTAAATTTGCTCAAACATTACATTGTACTGTTAGGATCCCAGAGATTCAGCAGATGTAATGAAAAATCTTATTAAACAAATTTGTATATAAGTTTTCAGCAGATTTCAATATTTCCTAGGTATTTTTAAGAACATTAAAATGAAGAATATTCTGGAAAACCCAGCTTTCTAGGAACTCTTAATGGGAAATAATACAAACATTATTGTGCGTATTGGTACAGAGCTTTATTGAACAAGACTAGTGGCATACCTATTTCTGGACAGAGTGACTGTTTTTAGTATATGAAGTTTCCACTTGTCAAAATCTGACTTTAAAAGAATGAGATTAGTCATATTTGGGCTACCATCCAGTTTCTCTTGTGCATACCAATTAGCATATTAAAAAAAAATCTGCCCACTATCTAACTAAATACCAGATACCAAGCCAAAAAAAATAAAAACCCAAAGTATTTCTTCTGAGGTGTCTGGCAAATCTGTGGGAAAACTGTAACATCAGTGAAGATTAAAATAAGTCTCACAATTCTGGACATATCTCTTCGGACATGATATGCATCAGCTTTCTGTTTGAATGAAGAAATTAGTGATTTTTTTTTTTAATGTTACTTTTCCTTGTTCTCAGATTTGCAGTGAAAAAAACAGAGGGCAGAAGATTCTGGAAATACACTTTAAATGGTCATCTTATTGCTTAGATTAATGATGCGAAATGAAAATGTATTAAAAATATGCTGGAATGTAAGTTTAATTTTTCTTTACAAACAGTGTTAATTTTACTTGGTCCTGCCTTAAAGTAAGTGTTTATGTTTCAAGACTATCTTGTCTGCAACTAAAAGGAAAAAAAATTTTTGTTTTATTTTAGCATTTTCACATGGTAACCATTTAATATTGTCTTGTTTTCTAATCTCCTTCTATATATCTTTCATAGCAAATAAAAACTGTTTGATCCCCATATGAGGTGCAGGGTTAAATTCCTCTTTTTCAAATGCTATATCAGATAATTTTAATGTTTTTATTTTGTGCAAAACAATTTATGTAATTTGCAATCCTATAAAATATTTTACAATTCTAGAAACTAGTCTCTTATAAAGAAGTGAGACTTAGCGGTGACAAGCTGTACCTACTATTGCTTATCTAGCCATAAAAAATGTGTCCAGCAAGTCCACGCTGGAGGAGAATTGCGAGCAAGATCTGAACAGAAAATGGAAATAGCATTTAGATCATCTGAAAAAAGGGGAAAAGTTGAATACAAAGTCCTGTAGTGAAATACTCCAAACGTAATGTGAGACACAGGGCAAATCATTGTCATATTGATTTTATAGTTCCATTTGTAGATTAGCAGTCAGAATAACCAACAAAAGAATTATTCAGAATTCTGTAGTTTTAGTGAAATACATAACTTGTTTACTTCCCCAGTGTCTATGTGGAAATAATTCATTTAAGAAGCCAGTTTTTCTGTTTTAGGGTTTTTTATGCTGTCACCCTATCCCAACTCCTTGAACGTTCATTACACGTACTTGGAAGTTTATGGTACTCTTTGGCAGGGGGAAAAGAATTGTCAGGATTGGGTACATTGTTTTCTACTAGATACCATCTGTTACAAGTTAGAAAATATACCATCCTTCTTGTTATATAATACAAACGTGCAAATTCATACAGTACGGATTTTTACAATACGGATTTTAACCAGGTCAGTAGTGTCTGAGCCTGTGTAACTGAGGTAGAGCTTATGCAGAGCAGACAGCAGAGGCTGACAATCTTAGCCAAGGCCAAATGTTGTATGTTGCAAGAGATTGAATCTAGTTGTGCTGGATCCCTTGCTGTGTATGACTAAGCTGAATATTCAAACCACCAATCCTTGTAATGTTAATGGTCTTTTGCAAGATTCATTTGCATTGAAGCTCAGCGCTTTCTGATGTTGAGCCCTGTCTTAAGGGTGCTGAATCAGTGTTCCCTTGTACTTGCCATTCTGAGAACCTTCTATCGCTGTGGTTCTCCAGCATAAACTTTTAGCAAAAATAGAAGCTCTTCCACTGAGTTTGCTCCTGTATAGTCGAACAAAGGCTGTATAAGGCCAGTCCGTATAGGGTCATCACTGTTTTAATTTTTAGACTAGAGCGCTCTTGACTGAAGTTGTGTAAATTCTCTCTTTCCTTATCTTGCCTTTACTTGAGCAGTGTCTTATGAGTGATTAAAATAAATTATTCATTTTCTTGTTAAGAGTAAGCAGATAAATTTGACTTCTGGAAATGAAATAGGCAAGTATGCAGCAACACCAGAAATAAACTTCATTCTATAGCGAGCTATGCAAGAGCAAGGAGAATCTTGAAAAACTTGCTGTTTAAAATTATTTTACAAGACTTTGGCACTTTTTAAATGGGTTAATAGAACGCATACCTATCCAAATATATGTGCTAGGTAACAAATGTGCTACCTCACTAGAGCCAGATACCAATGCCATTCACTATGTCTTAGCATGCACATGAAACTCGTATCAGTGATTACATATTAATCACTATTAACCTGGAAAAATGTATTGCTGACTCTTAACCGCATGCTTTTCCTGACTCCAAAAAAGAGTCATATCTTTCTATAATAATCGTACTTTCTTTGGAGCTTTACTTCTAAGGTCTTCTGCTGTAAACCATTAGTATTTAAGACTCTTGCCTACAAAGGGTTTGTTTATTTTTGTCATATGTTTCACTTTTTTCAGTGCTTCTAGTGAAAGTTAATGGATTCCTGATTAGGAAAAGGAAAGAAAGAGTTGTTTGTTACCCAACTAAAACATAGGACTGTTAAGCGTGGTGTGCAGTTCTAAGGCTGTTAGAGCTGCAATAGTGTTTTGTCATTCAGGACTTCTGACGGTGTGTCTGTGACATGATAAGCAGTAACACAAAGTTCCTCATAATACCAAACTACCTTAAATCTGACCTAGACGAACTGTGTGTAGGAGTGAAAGGATAATGCTGTAACTTGATCTGTTCAGACTTGTGGTAGTCAGCAAAGACCTCTACCCCTAGAAATTGCATTAGCAAACTCATTTCACTTAGCCTACTGAACAGCCATCATCAATTAAAATCAAGCTAGGCTGATCTTGATTTGATAACTTTTAGGTACTATGTCTGCTATCCCTTTCTGATATCTTAAGTCATCTGGCATCTGCATAATTATCTTTTATTACGAAACTGCTTGAAAATTAGCTGTGTTTCAGTTATGATTATTGCTACAATAATTTAGAAAGATTTGTGCCAGTAAAATAATGGTATCTCAGAAAACACTGCCAGTCAGGAATAGATCAAATTTTGCTACTTCTGCTTAAACGTCTCAGATATGAACTGGGACTGAATGATCTTGAAGGCCATTTTTCCATCAGTAACCCAAAACCAACCTTCTCATTGATTACAATTTTCCATTTGTCAAGTTACAAGAGGCAAGGTATTTTTAGTGGAGATCCCTGAACTCTAGAAACCTGTTTCAAAAGAGATCAGCTTGAACCTATAACTTAATCCACCTATGACACAGCACCGTGCTTCTGTGACTCCTTCAACTTGCAGCAATAATAAAAAGTAATGCTAAAAGTATTATTACTCTAGAAGGAATGGAAACAGCATTAATGCCAAATGGGCATTACATCTGTATCGCCTAAGGTCCAAACTAAGGTCAGCCCATATTGTACATATACCAAAGAGGTATGTTTCTTCCTCAGCCTGACACACCCCTACTGCAGGATATTCTCCTGCTGGAAGGAAGGGGGAAAAAATCTTACAGTAAGTACAGCAGGAAGCAGCATTCTCCACAGTGGAGTTCTGTTTATTTAAAATATTCATCAATTTTATCTTAGTGCATCATTTCCTAATTTCTTTTTCCTGACTCTGTTCCCTCCCCTTCTTGTCTCCCTTCTTTGCTGAGGTCTGGAGAAAAAAAGAGTGGCAGTGGCCAGCCCAGATTATATGACAGTGGGCAAGACTCGGAGACTGAGTCACTCTGGAATTGCCACTCCAGGATGAGGAGATGTGACATGATACTTTTACTCTTTCTGTAAGGAAACAGGAATTGAAGCCCAGCCCAGAAAGGGAGGAGGGGGTTAGCTGCTAAAACTAGCATAAGGCTGTGCTTCACTTCTAATTATGCTCCATTCCATCACTTAGGCATGCCTCGCTATTTGAAAATTGTTACTCTAGTGCAATTTAAACCCACGTGATAATTAAAATTGCTACTTGACTATAGTTTTTGCTTCTTTAGAAAAACAGTATGGAAGAGGGTTTCACGACTGAGGGGATTAGCAATGAGATGATTTTCAGCCCTTCAGCACCAATTTTGAACGTACCATTTGGAACAGTCTGTAGTTTCCAAAGTTGTCATCTTGTCGCTGCCAAGTTGCCAATGTAAAAATCTCATTCCCACTAGATGTCTCTCTAATCCCAAAACAGTTGTAATAGTAAACCTGAGGGGCAACCTAAAAACAGAAGGCCACAGAAGTGAGATGCATGAAAACAGAATTTGCCTTTCTACTTCTTAATCAGAGCTGAAGTTAGGGTAGCATGACAAAGCAGTTTGTCTAATAGTTTTCTGTAAGAGCTGTTGCCTTAGAATCTAAATTGTTACAGATTTTAAAAAATCATCACAAGGGTAAAAGCCAAGCATTTATCGTATACTTGGTGCAATCCCTGGAGGACATTAAAAAAAAAAAAAGAAAAAGAATGTACTCTCTTCCCCTACCTTGTTTGTATCAAGCAGTTGCCTGAAAGCTGTGCTGCCCCTTGCTCACCAGAATGGCACTGAGCGAGCACTGCTAACAGCCAGTTTCTGGACCTTGACTGCTGGGAAGGACTGTCACTTTTCGTTAGAAGCTGCAGGTGTTCACAATGGCTGGTGGCAACTGCTGTATTTTCATGTTACAGTTCTGAAAGGAAGACATTAATGAATCTCATTAATTATTATTAAAATGTTATTAACGGAAACTAAATGCACCTATCATTTCTAAAAACATTGAACTGCATTTCTGGATACCGTTTCAGTGAGTTTCTGAGTCTCATATAAAATATTGGCATTTTATGTCATTATTCATACGAGGTACAGAGCTCAGTGACTATCCGTATTGATTATATATTTAAATGAAATATTAATATAAATGTTGTTATTACATGTCTACCTCTAGTTGCATATAGTGTAACATTGCTTTTATCTGACATTTATGGACGCTTTATAATAAACTGTCTTTGCAAAATACTCTGCACTGGAGTGATGTTACAGATGAAATGTAATCAGCTTTTTAACAGCACTGTCAAAAGGCCACATCTACTAAAAAAAAAAAAAAAAAAGTATCTTTAAACCTACCTGTAGAAGAACTTAACTGTAAAAACGTAAGCAGTAAGGATACCTCATTTATGCCAATACATTTTAAATTTAAATAGTAACTGCTGATCCTTACAAAACTGACTGGGAAATGATTGTCCAAGTCCTCTCAAATTACCTTCAACCTTGATTCTGACATTGCGCTCTAGTACATGGAAATATACAACACAGAACTGATCAGAGCACCCAAGTAATCTATTACCAGTTTTTCCAAAACAGTTCAGAAAAATGGCCTATTTTTAATATGCTGTGCTGGTTCTCAATAGTTTGATGAACAAAACTAGAAATTGTCCTGCACTTTTGGAAGTTGGAGGCTGCAACAAAGGTAATTAAGAAGTAATTGTGTAATAAAAGCTGAGATTATTTCTTTTGGTAAACAGATGAAAACTATTCTTGACAATTACGTGTTGCCTTACCTGTGAAATTAGTCATACACTGTGATCATTTCTGAGCTGTATAAACTTGATGTTATGATAACCTGTGCATTTAATATACTTATTTTTTCCAGGTCTTATTTAAAAATGACTTTAATGTCATCTGCTAAACTAGCAAGATTTTTTTCTTCAGTTTTAGGGACAAATAATCTAAAGCAGGTAAGACCTTTCAAATTACTTCAATCTGTTCAAAGTTCAAGAACAAACACAGTACTGTCTGAACCGTGGTCACATTTTGGATGGTGAAAAAATTTGGCTTCACCTGGTGCAAACTACCTGGCTCTGAAGCTGGAAAGAGCTTTTTTTTCAGATTCCTATGGAAATTGGCTCTTGTAGGCAGTAGGTAGATCAAGTAACTCTTGTTAACCTGTCTGATTTATAGCCCCTGGGGTGTGTCTTGCTATACGTTTTGCACTTTTATTTGTCTTGATTTTACAGCTTGAGGCCATGGCCAAATTCTCAGCTCAATTCTGGCAATCTTTGCAATTAACCAAATAAAGGTTTCCCCAGGAATGTATTTGCTGCACTTGTTCCCAGGGCCAGCCGTTTGTTAAAATCTCTGGTGCTAAGAGAAATGCCCCCCTAACGTGCAGTCCTGTAGAATTAAGTTCTGTTATTTTGGTGCACAGGTTTGTAGAGGACTCTGTGTCACCTCTTGCACATCCTGCTGTTAGCCACATGCACTACTGACAGAAGTATCTCAGCAAGGGCCAAGTGGCTTTTCCCCAGTGTTCAGGAAAAAAAAAAAAAAATCTGTGGGTGTCATGGTTCCAATACTAGCGCATGGACAGCATTTTTTTCTCTCCATCCCAGTACCGGGGACAAGAAAAGTTGCCAGGATTTAAGAAACAAGTATGTCAACTCACAGAAGACTGTTCAAGTTCAGCATCTTCAACATTTGTTTTTTGGTCACCTGGCCATTTGGCCATTGGGACTGGCAAGATGAGATAGGTGCAAACTGCTGAACTCATGAACAAAATCCCTCTGCTCCCTAATACTTTAACATCTGCTGCCAAAGTTTTTACAAATCAATAGCTACTCAATGGCAATAGAGACCATTTAAACAAACACTAATTTTGGATCAAATCCTGATCTCATTGGAATCGATGATAAACACTCGTACTGGGACCAGTTTTTTTTTTTTTCTCCAAGAATGAGAATGTATTTGTTTATATGCCTCAGTTTTCACCTTAATAACAAAAACAGATGATGGACGGAAAGGTAAAAAAATGAGGACTGATTAAAAGAAATGCTGTTTCACTTAATGAAAGATTAAACTCTGGAATTCATTGCCACGAGATGTAATCAAAGCCAAAAACTTGGCAATTCTTGAAAGGATTTATTGTCTATATAGATTTCAAAAATAACATCCAAATACTTTTAGGAAAAAAGAAAAATTTATCCTGCAGGCCCTAGAAATCAATTTTTGTTACAACGATAAGGTATTCTAAGGACAGGCTGTGTCACATACAGCAACTGTGCACTTTCTAGTAGTTTCTTATGAAAGATCTAGACCTGGCAACTTGTAAATAAGTCACTGAACATCAGACAGGCCTTACAGGCTAATACAATCCGGCAATTCCTACATTTCTTATATTTTATAGACAGCTATTAAATAAAGTAGATTAAAAGCACTGATTTTAAAAAGGAAACAATCTCTCATGTTTTTGTGACTCTAACAGGGTATTTCACCAATTCTTTTAATTGAGAGTCTGTCTCTAAGAACAACAAAAATCTCATTCTTTTACATGGTTGAAGTCTTACAGATATGGAAAACTTCACATATACTTGACACCACCTGGTGCTATTGCCGTCTAAATGATATCTGTTGCCCTGATAACAGCATGCAAGCATAATTTATTAGTTTATACATTACTGATGTATAATTCATGTGTGATGGGAGGAAGCTGGTCTGCAAGTAAGTTATAAATGGAAGGTTATCAAGAACTTGTAGAAGTCAGTGACAATTCTCTATATAGCTAGTCCCAATGCATGTTATGTAGAGGCAACAAAACACGTTTCTTACTTACCAATATTTAAAGTACAAGGTTTGGAATTTCCCGGATGCATGAGTTTCTACTGTAGTATATGTAAAATACTCAGTAATTTAATTTTTTTAATCAACTTCAGCAACAAACAGTAGCTTTTAAGGATATTTCCCAATTATATACACAGACTATACCCAGAAATGTTCTCTATCAAATTCTTGGGTGGAAGATTTTGGGATAACAGTAGAAGACAAAAATTAGCTCCTAAAAAAAGCAGGAATTATCTTCCCCAATTTATATTTGGCATAAAATATGTCTCAATTTATCTACTTAAGGCTGGCAACGTATTCTGAAGGGGTATTTTATGTTTAAGTAAAAACTGATCAGAAAGAAGTTCAGTTTACATTTCCAGATAGTTTTACATCTGTCTTTTTCCATTTACTTCATTAGGGTTACCCCACTTTTAAACCAGCTGAAGTTTTATCAGTGTCAGACCCAGCATCTCTGCATACATGAAGAGACTGAGATGTTGTCTCATGATTCAGATTCGATTTCAATAGAAAAGTCTCCTTCTGCTAATGAACTAAGGAGTAGTTATTCTTTCTTTTTTCTTGCTATCTATCTCCTTTGTGTATGCAAACCTAGAAAGTGCTCTGATAACCAATGTAATCTGAAAGTAGTGCCAGACAGTACGAGCTCAGCTTTGATGAGTTAGAAATGGTCATACTCTGCAACACTTTCACTGAAAATTGTTGATGACATCAAGAGGCAATTTGCAGAGAGTAAGGCAGAATGAAGGTTGAATTTGAACATCAGCAGCAAAACAGGAAGAAATGCTCATTATATGAAAACAAACTATGTATAAACTACGATAGTTTTAGGGCACATTAGAAAATACAGACTTGACAAACCTTCCAAGTAAGCCTTGCCAAATTTTTTAAATAACGTAAGCTGGTAAAAAGTTTCTTGTGTACAGATAAGACTTTATTAAGACGTTTCAATATTCCCGAGGCTCAGCAGATCACACATTTCAAGAATATAAAACCTGCGTGTGTTGAAACACACACACACACACACAAGGACTGCAGTGGACTCCTGTGAAGAAAAACTGCATTCACAGTGTTTTCATCATCAATTATCTCAGTGTTTCATCATCAGTTATCTCCGTGTTTCTTCTATGAGATAAAAGAATTTAAAATATCTTTTAAAAAAGATGCATCGTGAAGCGTTTATGTGCTTGTGCTTAACAGCATGCTTCATTACAAAGACAGATAGACCCGAATGCAGTAGTATGCACACGGAGAATGCAAGTGAGTAAAAGTGACCATGATTTTGGCCTGAGGATCTGGGCATACAAAACTACTATATACTGTACTAAATTGTAGTTGTGACAGAACTGTTGATATTTCTTTATTTTTAATGTTGATAGTATGTATTTTTTAAAAACTAATGTAATTTAGTTATAATAACTATATATATTAAAAAAAAATCTAGCTAGCAATACTGTTCTTTGGTGAATACTCTTAAAATGAGTTCTGGCTTTCACTCTCACAAACCAGTTGCTGGCTGGAACTTTGCCTATGTAAACATCTAAGCAGTAATCCAATTTTCACCTCCAAGTGTTAAGTATCCCCACTGGTTAAAAATAATCCTTGCAGAAAAACAGTAGCTGATGACTATGCAGATACACAATCAGAAATATGTCTGTGTTTCTCAGTAATTGCACCATATATTTTCAGATATTTTAGTATATTTTATGTAGCTCTGCAACGCTATAGAATTCGAGCATAATCAAGATTTTTTTTTTCAGCTTCACTATAATTGATTTCTACTCTGCCTGGAACAGAAAACAGAAGCCAAAGAGAAATAGCTATGAAAAAGAGCTACTCAGCATGAAGACTTAAGATGAACAGAA